GTCCGGCGAAATCGATCTTTGTAATCACGGGTCCTGTACCCATTCTTGGTAGACCTCCCGGTCTTGAATAGCTCCACAAATTGCGCCTCTTCTTGCTTGGTCACCTTGATGCTCTCGCTGTCGAAAAGGAGATGCCCTGGCATGCCAGCACATCTTCCCAACGCCTGCGCCCAATCTTGGACTGTCCACCGGTCAACATGCGGACGCAATCCGCGCGAGGGTGGTCCCTGTGGCTCTAGCCACTCGCGCACCATATTCGCGCAGATGTAATTCCATCCCCATAGCAAGAAATCGAGCTTTCTTGCTATTAAGCGCTCCTCGAAAGCGCGCAGCCCGTTCTGCGGCAGGCGAAGTGGCACCATCCGCAATCTGCTCGGTCTCGTCATTGCGTTCCTGGGGTTCGCTCGCCCGCTCATTCTACTTCCGCACTGTCCGCGTTTCTTTCTCTCTCGGCAAACTCTAATCGCTCTCAATTCCAAATCACGCGCACTCACTTCTCCCTCAATCAACAAGAAATCTCCTGTGTGACGACGACGAGAATGGTCCGCAGCCAGCAGATGGATGCGCGCAGCGCGCACAAGAGATTGGAATCGCGAATTCAAGAATGGGACGCTCTCCGCCGCCCGGTCGAAGGTCATGGTCGTCTCTTGGTCGTGAAGAACGTCTCACTTGATGGCCGCGCCGGCTGTACGCTGGAACGGTCTTCGCTCTCACGCGCGGCTTCACGCTCCGCCGTCGTCGATTAAACTCTCACGCTCGAATTGGCGGATTTGAACTCCGCGAGCGTGTCACCCTGCGGACATGGGGGCGTAGCGCCGAAGGCGAGTTTTCCGCCTTGCGCGGTACACTTGTTCGTACCGCCCCTCGGCCAATCTCCTTCTGCCTTGACGCGTGTGTCCGCATGTCGGACAAAAATTCAACTCCTGCCTGTGCGCAGGCAGGGGCCTCGGCGGATTCTCCGCCGGCGCGGAACTTGAACATCCTCCTGTGCACAGGCGTTCGCCTGTGCGCAGGCGAACTCCGTCCGCGGCGCTGCGCTGGCGCGGAAGGCGTTGACCGTGGTCAGCCGTCTCCGTCCAGTCTGTCCGTTCCTTGTCTCTCCGTCGGCGCTTCCGCTGCCGCAACTCCGTCCGTCCAAGAGCGCATCCACCCGTGCCGTCCGTACGGTCCGTACCTATTGGATTACTCTGGCGGCTCTTCCGACGTACGCTGCGCTGCGCTGGCGCGGAAGGCGCCGTACACTTTCTACCTCACAAGGCGCATTTCTAGGGCCCAAGGCGGATTTCCCGCCGACGCCGAAGTGCCTGTGCACAGGCGAACGCCTGTGCGTAGGCGGAATTCGCGCCGGTGGCGAACTCCTTCCGCCGTAGGCGACCGCCTCCGTTTCTTCCAGTAGCGATAATTCCCTAAGTCCTCGTCCGTTCCAAGCGCTCTTGGGCTCGTTAGAATCAGCGCGTCGAGCTCTTTCCAACCGGACCCTAACTTGGTCAAGGCGCCCGAGGGTTTACCTAATTACGGGGGTTTCCCTACAGCCGCGGCCGCAACCTCCGAAGGCGGGTTTTGCGCCTTGCGCCGTAGAGATCCTAACTGCGGAGCTCGCAGGGAGGGTGGTGCCTGTGCTTGCTGCGGCACCCCAAATCCCAGATTCTACAAGATCCCTCGAGAATCCCCGCGATCTTCCGGATTCACTCTGTTTTGATGTACCGAAGGCTATTTACAATGCTGCCAGGGTACAGTTTTCCAAAAAATGTTTTAATTTTCTCAAAATTGCCAAAAGTGGGGTACCACACCGCCGCCGAAGGCGATTGAGCGGAGGGTGGCTGCGCGGGGTTTGATTGCGCATCGCGCATCGAGATTTCATCCCGCGGACAGTCACTCCGCTCCTCCGTCTGTTGCTCCCTTGATCGGTCCGTGGGGGCTGTGCCCGGCCCGTGCGCAGGCGCATTTGCCGGCGCCTTGTCCGCCGCAGGCGTAGCGCCGCGGACATCTATCGCCGAAGGCGACATGGCCGGGGGCCGCACGCCCGATGTCCCTTGGCCTATAGGCCCTACCGCCGAAGGCGCATCTATCGGCGGACTTCCCGCCGATGGTGCGGCTTCCGCACGCTCTCTGCTCGTATCTCCTCGGCTCGAAGGCCCTGGCGCCGAAGGCGCAAATTGCGGCGCGTGGTGCGCAGGAGGGTCTGGCCCCGAGGGCCGGTGTCTCGTAGGCGGTTCTTCCGCCGGCTCCTTCCCCTTCCTACGTTGGAACGGGGGTGATTCTTGCCTGTGCACAGGCGGCACGTGTGGAGGTGTCCTGTGCACAGGCGACCTGTGCACAGGTGAGCGCCTGTGCACAGGCGGACTGCTCCTTCCCACGCGTAAGCGTAGATCCACGTCCACTTGTGTTCGCCGGTCCGCGGAGGCTCGTCCGTCCGCGGAGGTTCGCCTGTGCGCAAACGGAACATCTGTCCGCATCGCACGTGGTAACTCCGGAGGCCCTTGGCCCGTAGGCGGCCTCTCTCCCGTCGAGGTTGCAGCGTGGCCCGTCGCTCCTGCGGTCGTCCGCGCTTCCTCATGCCTCTCTGGCGACGCACTTCCTATCTCCGTCGCAATTGTCGCCGTGTCCGCACTGTCAGCTGGTAACACCAGTCTGCGTGCCTTCTGCTTCGGCCGGCTGTATGGCTCGCACAGCGGCCGCGGTCGAATGGGAGCAGAGGGTTCTTGATGCTGCTCCCCTTCAGACTCTTCCCTCCATCGCCGCTTCCGCGGCACTCGCGCTCCAGGGGTGTGTCTCCCTTCGTCCCTCCGTCTTGATGGGGTAGAAGTCGGTGACTCCTCTGCATCAGTATCGACCTCGTTCTCCCGCACATACTTCCCGGGTTGGTCGATGGACAATGGCGGAAAATGTTCAAGCTCCGCCGCTGTCAAACAATTCCGCTGTCGATAAAAATTGATGAGGAAAGGAGAAAGATGGTTTAGAGTTCCCCCCTTCTCCTCAAACGCGTGCTGTCGCATCACCCTGTGCAGGATGCTCGCCCAGTGAATTGGAGTTCCCTCGATGACGCACTCCACAAAAGAGACCTGCCACAATGTGATGTAGCAGGCGCGGTGCGGCTGCAGTAATTGCATCAGCGCCGCGGACAAAGTCCGGCGAAATCGATCCTTGTAATCACGGGTCCTGTACCCATTCTTGGTAGACCTCCCGGTCTTGAACAGCTCCACAAATTGCGCCTCTTCTTGCTTGGTCACCTTGATGCTCTCACTGTCGAAAAGGAGATGCCCTGGCATGCCAGCACATCTTCCCAACGCTTGCGCCCAATCTTGGACTGTCCACCGATCAACATGTGGACGCAATCCGCGCGAGGGTGGTCCCTGTGGCTCTAGCCACTCGCGCACCATATTCGCACAGATGTAATTCCATCCCCATAGCAAGAAATCGAGCTTTCTTGCTATTAAGCGCTCCTCAAAAGCGCGCAGCCCGTTCTGCGGCAGGCGAAGTGGCACCATCCGCAATCTACTCGGTCTCGTCATTGCGTTCCTGGGGTTCGCTCGCCCGCTCATTCTACTTCCGCACTGCCCGCGTTTCTTTCTCTCTCGGCAAACTCTAATCGCTCTCAATTCCAAATCACGCGCACTCACTTCTCCCTCAATCAACAAGAAATCTCCTGTGCGACGACGTCGAGAATGTTCCGCAGCCAGCAGATGGATGCGCGCAGTGCGCACAAGAGATTGGAATCGCGAATTCAAGAATGGGACGTTCTCCGCCGCCCGGTCGAAGGTCATGGTCGGCTCTTGGTCGTGAAGAACGTCTCACTTGATGGCCGCGCCGGCTGTACGCTGGAACGGTCTTCGCTCTCACGCGCGGCTTCACGCTCCGCCGTCGTCGATTAAACTCTCACGCTCGAATTGGCGGATTTGAACTCCGCGAGCGTATTACCCTGCGGACATGGGGGCGTAGCGCCGAAGGCGAGTTTTCCGCCTTGCGCGGTACACTTGTTCGTACCGCCCCTCGGCCAATCCCCCTCTGCCTTGACGCGTGTGTCCGCATGTCGGACAAAAGTTCAACTCCTGCCTGTGCGCAGGCAGGAGCCTCGGCGGATTCTCCGCCGGTGCGGAACTTCATCCTCCTGTGCACAGGCGTTCGCCTGTGCGCAGGCGAATTCCGTGCGCTACGTCGCGCTGGTGCGGAAGGCGTTGACCGTGGTCAGCCGTCTCCGTCCAGTCTGTCCGTTCCTTGTCTCTTCGTCAGCGCTTCCGCCGCCGCAACTCCGTCCGTTCAAGAGCGCATCCACCCTTCCCGTCCGCATGGTCCGTACCGATTTGATTACTCTGGCGACTCTTCCGACGTACGCTGCGCCGCGCTGGCGCGGAAGGCGCCGTACACTTTCTACCTCACAAGGCGCATTTCTAGGGCCCAAGGCGGATTTCCCGCCGACGCCGAAGTGCCTGTGCACAGGCGGACGCCTGTGCGTAGGCGGACTTCGCGCCTTCCCTAACCCTACTTCGCCTGTGCACAGGCGAACGCCTTCGTCCGCGCATAGGACAAAACTTGATTCCCCCTTCCGCGTAGGCGGAATTCGCGCCGGTGGCGAACTCCTTCCGCCGTAGGCGACCGCCTCCGTTTCTTCCAATAGCGATAACTCCCTAAGTCCTCATCCGTTCCAAGCGTTCTTGGGCTCGTTGGAATCAATGCGTCGAGCTCTTTCCAACGGGACCCTAACTTGGTCAAGGCGCCCGAGGGTTGACCTAATTAGGGAGGGTTTCCCTACAGCCGCGGACGCAACCTCCGAAGGCGGGTTTTGCGCCTTGCGCCGTAGAAATCCTAACTGCAGAGCTCGCAGGGAGGGTGGTGCCTGTCCTTACTGCGGCACCCCAAATCCCAGATTCTACAAGATCCCTCGAGAATCCCCGCGATCTTCCGGATTCACTCTGTTTTGATGTACCGAAGGCTATTTACAATGCTGCCAGGGTACAGTTTTCCAAAAATGTTTTAATTTACTCAAAATTGCCAAAAGTGGGGTACCACATAAGGCCACATCTCAACGATCACAACCAGGACTTGCAAATGCACAATTACGGATTAGTGAAGGTGGGCCGAACTCCCTCCGTTGGACCTCTCCATGAAGTTGCTGGTGAAGAGATTGGACAGCATCGAGGACTGGGGGAGAAGGCTCGAACCTGCTCCAGAGTACGAGTTCGAGGGTGTGCCGTCTGACTCGTCGGCCATCCGGCCGTGCATGCCCGTCATCACGTGGCCCAGACTGTTGCCATTGCCTCCCCCGCCCATGCAGGACAAGAGCCCTGAGATCATTCCACTCCCCATCCCGGAGCTATTGCCCGACAGATTGTACCCCGAGGAGTTGATCACAGCCTGCTGCTGCTGCACGAGGTTCGGGTTGGACGAGCTGAGATCGATGGAGTCCAGCTCCCGGTGGCCGTCGACATCACCCAGAGGCACGGCGGGCGTGTGCCATTGGAACAGAGCAATGTGGTCCAGCAGCTTGTCTTTCCGGGAGAAGGTGGTCCCGCACGAGCATTGCCACTTATCCCATTCGCAATGCTTCTCGTGCGTCTTCAGGTCCTCCACCAGCGAGAATTTCTTGCTCTTGCACTTCTGGCACGCCAGCATCTTGGGGCAGTGGGTGCGCCTGTAGTGTCTCTTGACGCCTTGCATCGTCTTAAAGGGGGCGAAAGAGCGATGCTTTTTGTTGCGCTTGCAGCCGGCGTAAGGGCACGAGTACCGCCGCTCTTTCACGGCTGCCTGATCGTGCACTGCTTTGTCGAGCCTGGCCAAGGCAGCAGGAGTTTTGTACTCATCGGCATGGCCCCTCATGTGCATCCGGAGGTAAGCATCGCACTTGAAGATCTTGCCGCAAATCTCACAGAAAGTAGGGTTCCCTGCTAGAATCTCAATGGCGTCCATCTCGATGAGCTCGTACTCCGAGGGATCGAGCTTCTCCCCCTCGCTGTCATCGTCGTCGTCCCGCGCGCGCCTTCGGCCTCCGTCGTCGTCCATCTGCGGGGGCCAGTTCGCCATGGACGAACGGGACGACAATCTGTGACAGTAAATTGTAAAATCTCATTTCATATGTATACTGACGTGGACCGCATGGCAAGAACGATGAAGAATGAAGAATGTGAGTCACATTATTCGAGTTTGTGATATTTATCCGCTGAGTTCGACTCGTCTTCAGAACAGGGACTGCATGACAATGTATACTCTGGCTGAATCCAGACACGGACCTTGTCCGCTACCGATTATGGACCCATGAGATAGTCAACAGCCGAATGCATTTCCGATGACTTCCTCTTTGGAAGTACAACCATCTAATTCGATTACGCATCAGTTCAAAACATTTGAAATGTCATGTCTGTTATAACCACGACCAATACTTCCAGTGAACCGTGTTCGAGCAAGCTCGCCATCGAACACAAAAAAGATATCTGTTCACATCCGTTTAACTGGTACTTGCCTCAACGTATCATTCCTGGAGCGAGAATTGGACTCCAACCATTAAGAAAGTTCTGAAACGAGCTGTTACGATTCTTTTTCAGAAGGGATTTTAACATTCAATTTATTTTGCGGTTGAGATGAGTAGATTTTGGCGTGAAGCCTCCTGCTACAGGTACGAAGAGGCATGCTTGTGATGAATCAATGTCTTTTCGAAGATGCAGCATTCATTTGCAAGTTCTATCGTTGTAAAAAGCTTACTTTTTATCAGCAAACCCGTTTTTAATCCAATGTGATCAATCAGTATCTTTTCGAAGATATAACCAACCACCTGTTATACTACTATCGCTATCCCAGTTGTAGAAACTAGGACCTAGATTGCTAAACCCAGTATTTACTGTAGTTCCCTTGCTACCTGAATTTACAATTCCCACCAATGTTTCATTCTTATCATTCTCTTACTCCTGTTCATCCCAAGAGGTAGTGATCTCTGCCCTGTCAAATTTGCCTATTGGAATTTTAACAAGATTTCTTTCGGTCCATAAGTAATAAAAGTTTTCGCTCCTCCGCAATCCACTATAGCATCCTACATTCTCAACCAAGGCCTACCCAATCCGCTTTTAATCCATTGTAAAATTAGTTCAAAAAATCAAATAACAGCAACAAACAGTGTAAAATAGTCGTGCATACTAATCCAAGTGAGAACAAATGGGGTCGAGCAATCGTCCTTTATCATGGTTGTCACTAGCAGTGTAAAACAGTCGTGAAATCTAAGCCAAGTGAGAACAAATGGAGTCGAGCAATCCTTTATCATGGCTGTCACTAGCAATAGCTCTGATTGCTTTAATTTCTACTCTGGGTGCTGTGAGCCAATGCGTCGAGATACCGACCATTTATATCGTAAATTTAATTGCTCGAGCAGCTACGAAGTATCAAATATCAGATTACGTTCTGAGTGATGATTATCATTCACAGATTATGGGATATATTTATTCATCCAAGAGCCTTCTCGGATGACGTCGCTCTCAGATACCAGTGCACATTCTTTATTGGGCCTCACTTGGACTTTGTATTCATACCTTCCATTCAGAAGTCTTCAATAAATTGGTCTAGGACGTCACAATCGTGATAGCTCGAAAAAGTATGCAACCATTGTTAGGAGAGCGTGGATTGGTCTGGCTCCATCAGCACAGAAATAGTAGAGCAGGAAGCATGAAAGTTGATCGTATAATGGTGCGTGCATGCACACGTCGATGACGTCTACAAAGAGCTGATGTCTGAGAGCATCAACGCTGTGATTGTCAGATGACTGGGTCTCCTCTTTGATCAGTTTTCGACTGCAAGTCTATGTTTAAGTTGAAAAATGGTTTTCCTGCCAGAGATTTGAAGTTCGCCATGCACTTTTTTCTATAATTAAGAACAATACGGATTTCCGAACAAAAGATTCACATAAATAGCAACTCTTTCTCCAATATGTGTATTACGATTTAGCTTTCTGAAATCCAATTAGCTCTCAAGAGAGACGACGTTTGCTCTTTCCCAGCCTCAAGCTTCTCGCAACGACTGATAACAAGTTACAACCACGATGCCCTACCAGGGATTCGAGTTCTGCTTAAAAGTGGCTGTACTAATTTATCCGAACTTAAAATCTCATCTACAGTATATCAGTCAGTACTATGCAAGCGTTGAAGCAATTACAATGCACTGTATGCAGAAACACGATTCCCACAACACTCTCTGTCATCCTCACGGCAGGGAGCGATGGAGTGCCCTCCTATGAAATGCTCATCCCTGCCACTCCCTAATTTGCCTTCGATCTTCGTCCACTGATATACATGTGCCGAACTGTCTACCACTTCAGCAAAGATGAAACTCAGAGTCGCTCGACGGCCGCAGCTATTCATAGAGGAAGTCTAGTAAGGAAGCTGACCGACAACGTTTCCCGGGGGGTCGTAGCTGCAAACGACGAACAAGGCACCAGAGAGACAAGTGGCCGACCCGCATCCAAGCGCCGCTGTGTCCCTCCACACGACCTGATGCAAACAGTGGGACCCGTGTCAAAACCGGCGAGGCTCATCACATCGACTGCATGCCCGGCCATGGAAATAACAGCGACAAAAAAATTTGACTTCCAGTTTCTAGTCCCAGTCATGAGTTTCCAGAGTATGCCTGAAGCCCCTCATCTTTAACATCATTGGTGAAAGCTTTATCCTGATACAGGTCCTGGACTCGTGGTTAGTCTGCAAGATCTAGAAATCTCTGAAAATCAAACTACGGTGGAAAGCCATGGAAACAACAACTTCGCGCACACCAGGCGAGAAAAGCACGAGAAGAATTTGCATGGGACCTGCGTGTAATGACCGCATGACTCGCCCTCTGGGGCCGAGCACGAATTCGTTGCGTAGTCGTAATATGCCTCCTCGCTGACCCATAACTGCACTGCATCGGCTGGGGTGCTCGGTCCACTGGACCAGTAGATGTTCTCCCCGTAAGGTCCTCCAGAGTGTATGAGAGCGCAGTCGTCACCAGCAGCTGCTCTGGTGGCGGCCCAGTCACTAGCATACGATTCCAGCGTGGTGTCCCAGGTCAGGCTCGGTATGCCTTGATTCAGCCCAGCTCGGGCATCATTGTGCGGAATAAGGTACTCGTCTGCTGTGGATTGCCCCTGGGCGACATTGATGACGCTAGACGATGTAAGACAGATGACAAGAATATGAATCAGAAATCGTGGCCTCAAATCGAAACCCATCGTAAAACTGAGGATCCAGAAATTTCGAGGAAGAATTTTTTTCTTTAGGACAAATCGAGAGCAGAGTCCACTCTATCTGATATCTAAAGTGTTCTTGAGCCTTCGAGATAGGAGGAAGTAATCATCCTCAATCCCGGCAATGAGATCGCAGATATGCTTTGAACGATCACTCCTGATCCTTTTATACCACCGCAAGTTCTGAACTTGCGTAAGAGATGAGTGTAAACTATTGAAATTGGTATTTGTAAAAGGTAGGATCGGGACCCACATGAGCATTTCTCGAAGTCTTTTTTAATAAAAGAAATCATTGGCGAGCATTCTTAATTCATCTCGGAATCTTCTCTACAACTGATTTGGCTTGTCATCTGGTCTCTACTATACATCTCACTCACAAACAAATGCAGTCTGGACGCCGCTCATCGGACGACCTTTGAGAAACTTAATCGCCTGTGATCTGGAAGACCGTAGGAGGAGCCTTGTCAAAAGTCAAGTCCAGTATCCAGCACATGAATAAACAACATCGAGATATCCACTCGTGGGCTAATGTTATGATATTGGAATACTAGAATAGGTCCACTTCTACGAAAACAAGTCTGGATCAGTACTCGGTCCAATCTCAATCTCTTGGTCAATTCAGAGCATCTTATATGCAGCTGCAGGAGAGTTTGCCAAAGGCATGGGACGTGCGTGTCCGCCATCGTGAAATGTTTTTGATCGATTGACTTCTACTAGATCTCAGATCATATTTTACCAGAAACGGTTTTTATGAAAATGCGAAAATCTTCCCTATTTTGGCTGATTCACCAGTTACCTTCTTGTCGTACTGATTCTAATCCGCATTTTAAAAAGTTACAATTCGGGTTAGATTGTGGTTGAAACTTCGTCATCGTCATTCCACCTCGTAAATCGGAGTTACCACAACTGGCATCTCGTCTCAGTGGTGTAAAAGTTTTCATCATTCAAATAGTTTAAAGGTTCAGTTTGTGCATTACGAGCCTTGGGTGGTAGTCTTTGTTAAAACAGGAAGAACGGCGAACATAGCCACTGAGATTGAGGTGATGACGGTCTGATCGCAGTGGCGTGGAGCACGACACCCATGTGACCCCATTTGAAGGATCACGCCTACCCATGTGGCGGAATGAGAGAGCGTGTTCTTTCCTGACAATAGCACTTAGAATTTGCAGATCTATCTAGGTAATTAAGATTCTTCACGAGAAGTTCAGCAATCTTGATAAGACACTTGTGTATTTAAGTATGTCATTTCGGGGATTCTAATACATCACTTGTTCTTGTCAATCGTTCATGACTTCAAAGCCTCGAAACATAATAAGTTATTGACCCAAGGCATGAAGTGCCTAGAAAGAAGTAAACTGTAAAGTTCTTATTATTTCTTGTCTATAGTAAGATGAGAAATCAAGGTTCGATTTGGGTAGAAACTGAATCGGTCGGCGTATACATAATCGTGAGGGTACGGCAAGCGAGAATCGGAAAGTTGAGGCTGCATTTGGAGGAGGCAGGTAGCTGTGATAGCCCACCCAAGGCTAAATTGCAGTATAAGAGCAAAAGATTGAATCCACAAGGACAAGAATAACACACAGAGTACAAAGTGTCACGTTTTAACAAACTATTGAGGAGTTTGAATTCTCAAGCTACTGTCACTCCCACAAATATTACAAGTGCTCAACTCGGAGGTCACTCCGAGGACACACAATGCAGCGTAATTCATCCCAAACACACACCTGAAACTGTAAATGCACAACTCAGAGGTCGGTTAGGACCTCCACTTAAGATTCAGGGGGAAGTTTCCCAAGCATACACTCAGAGGATCTGCATGTAGTTACCCAACTCCCAACTTGCTTAAACCTTGTCACTAGCCACTACTAGTGCAGAGCATTCGGGTTGGACTTCCTATTTCGGATGCGGTACCTTCGTCAAACCGAAGTCACTCTCACGTGGTGAACAACACACTCAACTCACAAAACGCACAGAGATTACAAAAATCCAAACTGAGAAACTAAGTTGAGAAAAGTCCAAGTGTTACAACTTAACAGTCTATTGACGAGTTTGAATTTTCAGGCAACTGTCATTCCCAGAATTACTGCGAAAGCTACCCCAAGGCGTCTGAAGGAGCATAACACACTCAACCTGAATTCAACCAACTCTCACTCCGAAGTTAGCAAAATTTCACTTTGGTATTCAGGGGAGAAAATCCCGAAGGAATACAAACAGGGAAAATCGTTTGAAGGTGTAAGTCCAAACTTGCTTAAATCCTAACTAGCCAATCTGCTAGCACGGAACATTCGGACGAAGGCCTTCAGCTATAAAATGCGGTAACTTTGAGAAGCTATAGCTCCTCTTACGCGGTGACAGAACGAAGGACACAAACGCGTAGAGAAAACGACTTTCTAATTTGAACTTCCGAAACTGAAAAATCCCTTAAGGCCAACGCGTTGGACTACTTTATACACTCTAAAATCCTAACTACCTAACACTACTCATCGACTACGGTGCAAGCCACGAACAGATCCCGCACCTGAGGAGTCGGCGGCTTACTTCCCCTCTAACTTACGACCTAAATCTAATCCTAATCCGAAATCTAATCCTAACCCTAAATTTGAATCTAAACCTACTACACTAAGCCGTCAGCGTCTTTAACAGCTTAGATCCAAGCTCTAAGGCTAAAAATGCGCAAGCATGCGCGGCCAGCTGAGATCAATGGCTTCATCAAAGTTCAGCTCCATCCGACCCTCCATCACAAAGATATAGGCCCCGCAAGATCTTTGATCCAAGGTCGAACCCTAAACCTACTACACAGAGCCGCCAGTGTCTTTAACAGCTTAGATCCAAGCTCTGAGGCTGAAAATGCGCAAGCATGCGCGGCCGGCTAAAACCAACGGCCCCATCAAATTTCAGCTTCATCCGACACTCCATTGAAAAAATATGGGCCCCACAAGATCTCTATTCCAAGGCCGAAATTCCTTCTCCAAAGTCCGAGGTCCGAGGTACCCACATGCCGCTTGAATGCCGTTCCTGCGATGATGGGTAACGGCCTGCTTCCCACACGCGACTTCACGGCCCGCCATTCTGCTTCCCACGCCAATCTTCACGCCCCGCTGTTGCGCTTTCCACGCTTGTACATTTGACGTTCATGACAACGCCGACTTCCGTCGTCAAAAATCTTCTTCCGCGTACCGCCAAAGGCACTCTTCCGCGCCTTTGCCTATCCATATCAGCCACTTTTGACACTCATAACTCAATGATCCCTTATCCGTTTCAAGGGGCTCGTTAGAACGAGCGTGTCGAGCTCTATCTATCAAGACCCTAATTAAGTCAAGGCGTTACTAATTGAAAAAGTTATGAGGGATTTACTCTATCAGATCTCTTAAACTTCTCATTTTGAGAAAGAAAAAAAAAACTAGGCTACCACAGTAGCGCATCGCAGCCCAGCTAGACGCAAAAGCGAGCGAGCAAGGGAGCGGGTGTCTGCATCGCATCGAGCGATGTGCGCAGTAGGCACTACGAGGAGGAGGTGTGTTAGACACAAAAGGAGTAGTAGAGTTTCGTGAGACGGAGAGGAAGCTGATGCAGACGGTGACAAACCAGCAGGGCTTGCAGCTAATCTTTCATGAGTCGTTGCTTTATTGATTTCTGGGTTTTCGGGTCAAGTACAATACTCTACCAGAACCAGATCCGAACTTGGGTTTTCAGGTTTTACCCGAACTAGATCATAGCCCTATAACCAACATCAAGACCAAGAATACTGGAGAGTATAACCAAGAAGAGATTAACAAGCACAAGGCAAAACTCAAGCTCAAGAGTCTCAAGGCAAAGTCCTTGATTATTTTGGCTCTTTACAAGGAGTTCAAGCAATCCCTAAGAAAGCTGGCTGGTGGAAAGGAATGTTTGGACTATCTTGATGAAGTCTTCAAGACAAGAGTCCAAGTAAGGAAGACAGAGGTTGAGACGTAGACAGTTAGTGACAAACCAAATTGACAAAGCAATGGAGATTTAGAGAGACTTAGAGCAAATTTGAGAAGAGTTTTTTGATAGAAAAATCGTTCATCATATTATACTCGGTCTAGACTCATGTAATAACCCACTAAAGGCTAAAACTGCAATATAGTGGTAGAAAGGTCGAACCCACAGGGACAAAGTAACACACAGGGTACAAAGTGTCACATTTAACAGACTATTGAGGAGTTTGAATTCTCAGGTGACTGTCACTCCCATAAATACTGCAAGTGTTCACTCAGAACTCACTCAGAGGTCGCACAGTGTAGCGTAACACACACACACACACGCCTGAAACTACAGAAACACAACCCAGAGATCGGTTAGGAACTCTACTCAAGATTTCAGGGGGAAAGTCTCTCGCGAGTACACTCAGCGAAGCTGCGGGTAGATACTCCCAACTCCGGCTTTTACAACCCTTCCACTAGTTTTCTGCTAGCGTAAGGAACCCGGTTTGGACTTCCTACTTCGGATCGAAGTCACTCACACGCGGTGAACAACACTCTCAACTCACAAAACGCGCAGAGAACACAAGTCCGCACGGAAGGACTCACTGAGAAACGTTCTAGTAACACACCTGTAATAACCCACCAAAGGCTAAAACTGCAGTATGGTGGTAAAAAGATCGAACCCACAGGGACAGAGGCAACACACAGAGTAAAAATGTCACGTTTTAACAGACTTTTGTAGAGTTTGAATTCTAGGCGACTGTCACTCCCAGAAATACTGCAGTGCTCGACTCGGAGGCTCGACTCGGAGGAGGATCTCAACTCGGAGGATGCTCGGAGGATGCACGGTACAGCGTGGTCACTCAACACACACACACACACACCTGAAACTGGCAAAAAGCACAACTCGGAGGTTGGTCAGGACCTCCGCTTCGGATTTCAGGAGGAAAGTGTCTCACAAGTTCACTCAGAGGTTCTGCAGGTAGTGCCTCCCACTCCGGCTTTTACTGCCCTTCCGCCAGGAACTAGCGTAGGGTACCCGGACTGGACTTCCCACTTCGGAACGAAGCCTCTTCATACGCCGTGGACGTCACCCTCGACTATCACACCAAACGCAGGGAGTGCAGACCCGACTGAGAACTTAC